AGCAGCTAATGAGAGCGGTGCGCCCATGGAGATGGGAGAAGCCTCGAAGAAGGCAGAAGAACCGCTCAGTTCACAGAACTGAGCACAGGGGTCAGGGTTCTGCAGGGGAACCTCCATCATGCTAAGGCGGCAAGCGCTATCGTATGCAGGAGGTTCGACAAGGAGAGACTAGATTTGGCTCTCCTGCAAGAACCCTGGCTACACGGAGGCAGGGTTGCAGGCCTGACAATCAACCAAGGTAGGGTACTATATAAAGAAGGTAAAAATAAACCTCGCGCTTGTATCGTACATAGCAACAGGGTGAATTGCGTACTAATTCCGGTGCTCTGCACCGCCGATATTGTTACAGCTATCCTGACCACGCCAACGGAGGAAGGAGCCAAGAGCTGGTTAGTGAGCTCCGCATATTTCCCAGGCGAGGAGGCTTGCCCACCACCGCAAATAGGCGAAGTAATCGCATACGCGGCCAAGGAAAACCTCCAACTGATCCTTGGATGCGATGCAAATGCACACCATACTCTATGGGGAAGCACAGACATCAATGCAAGAGGTGAGTCACTACTAGACTTCATACTAACAAAAAGGTTATTAATAGCTAACGTAGGAAATAAACCAACCTTTGTCACTGCAACAAGAAAAGAGGTATTGGACATTACACTTTCGACAGAAAAAGCATGTGATAACATAGCAAATTGGCACGTATCCGAGGAGCCTTCATGCTCCGACCATAGACAGATCAGATTTGATCTAGTTACCCCCCCTCGAACCTCAATCACTTACCGAAACCCCAGGGAGACAGACTGGGATAGATACCTATTGTCACTCAGCGATGCTCTCGAAGGAGATATGGTAGAAATTGAGGATGACAAAAGCCTTGAGAGGTCAGTAAACCTAGTAAGCAAGGCAATACTTGCAGCTTACGAGGTTAGCTGCCCTGAAAAAACAAGGCAACAGAATAACAAAACAGTCTGGTGGAATAAACACTTAGAAACCCTCAGAAGGGAAGTGCGTAGGCTATTCAACAGGGCAAAAACCAACCAAGACTGGGCTGAATATAAGGCTACACTTACGCAGTACAACAAAGAGATCAGAAAGGCAAAAAGGCAATCGTGGAAGAAGTTCTGTGAGGAGGTAATGGATACCCCCACATGTTCTAGAACCCACAAAGTGTTGGCGAAGGAGGGTACTGTAAATCAAGTAGGTTTCTTGAAAAAGGAAGATAATACCTACACAACAACCTTTGAGGAAAGTATATCAAGGCTAATCGAGGCACACTTTCCGGCCGCAACAATTCTAAACGAGCCAGTGGCGGGGAACAGTCCGCCAAGCAAGCTGAATAGGCCAAATGCCTCGGACTGGAGACTAGCCACAGAGATAACAAGGCCAAACAGAATAAGGTGGGCTATAAGCAAATTTCAACCATTTAAATCTCCAGGAGAGGATGGAATCTACCCCATCCTACTCCAAAAGGGGCAGGAAATACTAATTCCAAATCTATGTAGAATATTTAAGACCTGCTTAGCTATGCGATACATACCTAGTGAGTGGCAGAAGGGAAGAGTCATTTATATACCCAAGGTAGGGAGACTGAATGACATGACGCCCAAGTCATACCGTCCAATCTGTCTAGTGTCCTTCCTGCTCAAAACTTTAGAAAGACTAATAGACAGATACATCAGAGATGAGGTTTTATTAACAAACCCCCTCAACGAGCGACAATACGCGTATCAGCCGGGCAAGTCGACAGACTTGGCACTGGATGATCTAAACAGGCTACTAACAAAATCCTTGGAGGACAAAGAGATAGCAATGGCGACATTCGTAGACATTGAGGGTGCTTTCAACAATGCATCTACAAAGTCAATTACCAAAGCTCTAGAAAAGAAAGGGGTTCCATCCCTCCTGTGTCGATGGATAAACGCCAGCTTGGAAAAAAGGGTAATTATATCATCCATTGGCGAAACCACAGTCACAGCTAGAACAGGTAGGGGCTGTCCGCAAGGAGGGGTGTTATCACCTCTCCTATGGGCTATCCTAGTAGACGAATTACTGAAGAGGCTAACATCCAAAGGTATGCATTGCTTAGGGTACGCCGACGATGTTGCGATTATTGCAAAAGGCAAATTCGCAGGAACAGTCTCGGAACATACCCAAACTGCTCTAAACATAATTAACAAGTGGTGTCAAGAGGAGGAACTAACTGTGAACCCTCTTAAAACCACGATAGTGGTTTTTACTAAGAAGAAAGTACTGAGAGGGCTGAAGCCACCAGTTCTTAACGGGGTAGAAATTCCAATTGCACAAGAGGTAAAATACTTGGGAGTCATCTTCGACCACAAGCTGACATGGAATCAACACCTACAGAAAATAATCCAGAAAAGCACGATAGCCCTCAACCTGTGCAGAAGAATGATCATATGGCTATATACCAGGGTTATTAGACCAATGATAGCATATGGTTCGGTGGTATGGTGGCCAAAGACTCGGCAGGCTGGGGCGACCAAAAGGCTAAGTGGCATTCAAAGGCAAGCCTGCCTGGCAGCCACGGGAGCTATGAGGACAACCCCAACAGCCGCCTTAGAAGTCTTGCTGAACCTACCGCCACTTCACGTCTACATACAAGGCGAAGCCAGGTCAGTCACCAATAGATTGACCAGAGGGCAAACGCCCATAAGCAGACTGCACGGTAAGATGTACAACGAACTATACAAAGAGTTGGAAACCGACCCGATAATGGGAATGCCATCGGACGAGATGCTTCCCAAGTATAGCTTCGGTAAACAATTTAAGACTGTTATAACAGACAGAGAGGCATGGAAGGGAGGTCCTCCAATTGATGCAGAAATGGCCTGTTATACAGACGGCTCAAAAACCGATGAAGGTGTAGGAGCAGGAATATATATAGCCAAGCCAAAGACAAGAGTCTCACTGAGCTTAGGTAAACACGTGACGATATTCCAGGCAGAAGTTGCAGCAATACATCAGTGTGCAGGAGAGTTAATAAGGCAAGAGTTTAAGGAAAAGACCATCGCCATTTACTCCGACAGCCAAGCGGCTATAAAAGCAATCAGCTCCATGCAGATCAATTCCAAACTCGTCTGGGACTGCTTGGAAACCCTACAAGAGCTGGGCAGTCAAAACAGACTGTACTTAGCCTGGGTACCAGGCCACACAGGCTACAAGGGCAACGAAGAGGCTGACTCACTAGCCCGAGAAGGAGCAAGATGTGCTCCTATCGGTCCAGAACCTTTCTGTGGTATAGCGAAAGCGCTGCAAAGAACAAATAACAGCACTTGGATGAAGAAGCAGTCTCGAGAATGGTGGAACAAGGCGCCGGGAATGAGACAGGCCAAAGAGTTCATTAAAGAACCATTGCCAAAATTCACGGAGTACCTACTAAGCCAGAATAGGAGAACAACAAGGATCTTGGTTGGGCTCCTGACAGGGCACTGTAGACTCAACAAACACATGAACAACATCGGATTGGCGGACACAACCATATGCAGGTTTTGCCAAGAAGATGAGGAAACCTCAGCAGACATACTGTGCTACTGCGAAGGCCTGACTAGGCTAAGGTTTTCGACGATAGGGGAGGAAAAACCACAGCCCTCTCAATATATGGAGGACCTGAGGTCTGGCCTATGGAGTCTAGTAATAAGGATGGGTTTAGACAAGGAACTCTAACATAACATGAGGGCACACACAATAGATCTGTAAAGGTCGCAGTGGAGAGGCTCCTAGTAGCACATGAGCCCCATATCAATCTAATCTAATCTAACCTAACTAACCTAAAATATTGTACTATATTCGTATCGTAAATTCATATTACGATATGAGATAGGAAAATAATTGTCAAACGAGGCCATAGGTATTTGTTATAATTATGGATATAAGCTCATCAGTATTTCATATTTTATACAATGAATTTCATTGGAATTATAAAATTATTTTTATTTACGCATGCGTCCAATTGTCGCCGCGTCTAATTGTCGCCGCGTCCAATTGACTGCGACCAATAGTCGTGCGTCCAATTTTCCACGTCCAATTGACGCGACACCAATTTTTCTCTGCTCTGTATAGATTTCATTTTCATCTATCTGAGTGAGAAAAGGAGAATTTACGTTGTTCATGGTGATCAAATACCAAACTTGGACCGAATATGGACGTCCCTGGGACATTCTATCTTGTAACATCGGACGTCTTCAGTACGTCCTCTGGACGTACACAGGACGTCTTCGTATTATCTGGGAATCTACGCCTATTCATGTTTGCTGGGTCTACTTATTCACACCTCAACAACTTTTCATGATCTACAAAGCACAGATACAAACAGTTTTTGAATACTGTTCTCACATATGAGGTTCGGCACCCAATCATACGCTGATGATTTGAGATTTCATCTAGAGAATGTTTGACCCCAATAGAACACCGTAGAAAGGTCGGTGACCTTCCACTTTTCTATAGATACTTTCCACGGGAACTGTTCCTCAGAAAACTCTGCTATCAATCCACCACTGGCAATACTAGTCAGACCAACTCGACAGGCCCAGTCAGCACATCCTCTTGTTGTTGACCTTGAAATATGTCGAACAACACTTCAACACTCGTTCGTCTGTAGAACGGCAAAGCTTTGGAATTCTTGGCCATTGGAAGTATTCCCAAAAGATCTAATAACCTCCAAAAGTTCAAAAAAATCCCAATACATACCTCTTATCTTTGTACTCCCTACCATTACTTATATTATAGGGTACAGTCGTATAGAACTTTCAGGCATAGGTTTCAAAATTAAATAAAAAAACAATCAAACTAAAAAATCAGTTTAATCGTCAAATACAATATCCATACATGTATACCTACCTACCAATTCAGTTTTAATAAAAACCAAAAAGCTTCATGATTAAAAAAAACATATATGTACTTAAAGTAAAATGTAGGTAATAAAGAATCGGAATATCCAGCAAAAAATAAAGATGTAAAGGATGTGAAATCGTTGTTAGCAATCAACGTCTGTCTCTGGAATCAGAGCGCCCTCTTGAGTCTCGGCTTCGCGATCTCGATCGCGGTGAACGAGAACGTCTCGGTGATCTCGACCTACGAAACATACGAAAAAAATCAGTAACGAATTGACATATTTATTAGAAATAGATATTCCAGAAAATTAAGACAAATTCAAGTGAAAATCACCACTATTCTTATGAACTTTCTCGTCGAGTGATTTGTACGTCAAACAACAAAAAATAAATAAAAATTCAAAATTGAAATCCCAGCCAGCAAAAAACTAGCCAAATTGATCGTTCTTCAAATGTCTAAATTGTTGTCCGATCTTGGTGAAATTTCCTTATGTAGGGAAAATCAAGATAATATTTTAGGCTCAACTTCTTAACGCCCTGTGACCAAAAAGTGAGCGATTGATTGCACTTAGCTTCATTTTGTTTTGGATAAAAGTATGATCCGTTCTCAACATAATGGTTCTTGATTCACGTCAATATCTTATTTTCAAGAGGAGACACAAGTGTTTTAAGAAAGTATGGATTTTTTTTAATTTTCAGAACCTACATAATATGAGCTTATCGATTATATGTTACGTCTATGATTCCCATTTCATCAGGAATTCGGTATATAATTTTAATAAAACTATTCAATTTCCACCCATACTTTTCGTTGAACACGTTATGTCAGGTACAATAATTGCTAAATATGTTACAGTGAAATTTCCCGAGTCATAAGATTTATCGATAAATCTGGTGACACTGAACTGATGTAAAACGGCTCGCATTTTTAGCTGTGCGTAAGTGGTACAGGGTCTTCACGTATATTTTGAACCACCACTTTACTTCTTTAGGTATTGTTCAATGTTTTTCTCAAGGAACATTTTTTTTATATTTTTTCCTGTAGATTTCATATATGCCAACAGAAAAACATTTGAACATCTCAAAAAATATTTATGGGCAACATTTATAATTTCTTCAATAGGACACACTGTATTTTATTGCATTTTCAGATTCTCCTTGGAGAGCTGATTTCATCGATCTATCACAGTTGGTGTCTAGCTGAAATGATTACAGATATATAGGATAGGAAAAATTGAGATTTTTTCAACTTCAGGAATTTTTCCAGTCGATACTATATCGGCCAAAACTGTTTTTAAGTCCCTATCTTAAATTTTGATGTATAATCTACTGACATTTAATTGAAACAAATACAGGGTGGTGAAAAATCTAAAATTCTGATGACCCTGCATTTACTTCAATTAATTGTCAATAGATAGTGGCTCAAAAGTTAAAATAAGGACTCAAAAACTGTTAAAAAAAAATTACTTAAGTTGAAAAAATCTCAATTTTTCACACCCTATATCTCTGTAATCATTTCAGCTAAACCCCAACTGTGATAGATCGATATAATCAGTTCTCCAGAGAGAATCTAAAAATGCAATAAAATACAGGGTGTCCTATTGAAAAATTATAAATGTTGCCCATAAGTATTTTATGAGATGCTCAACTGTTTTTCTGTTGGCATATGGGAAATATACAGGAAAAAATATTAAAGAACGTTCCTTGAAATAAAAATTTATCAATACATAAAAAAGTTAAGTTCGAAATATACGTGAAGGCCCTGTACGTCACAGGCGCGTATACAACATAGAATATATTCCGAATTAAACTGACAGTACTGAATCTGCTGATTTTTTATTCCGAAATCAAAAAAATTTATGAAAGTGATAGATATTTGTGAGCAGACATACTATTCATTCCAAATATTTTGACTCAACAATTTGCTGAAATTGATGACTCTTTTGAAAGTGTGGCTGCAGTAAACTGTCATTATTTTAGAGGAGAAAGGAATGTCACATAAATTTCCGTTGTTTTATGACTAATTAATTGATAATATCAATTTTGATACCAAAAATGTCTATTATTTGAAATAATTGACACTGAGAATCATATTTAGTGCAGATGAACAAGAAACTATACTTAAGTGACAACTTGACAACTGACAAAGTTCACCAGCTGATCAATGGGCGTGTACACCTCAGTAGAACTTTTAACTAAAACCATGTTTATAATGATCCTTTTATACATAAATAATGATTGACAACATAATTCGATCCAAAAATTAACTGAAATGTTTCATTTTTAGACATAAATAATAGTACCTTCTGAAAACGGACCCTCTTATGACGTAGAAACCCCATCTCGCCATAGTTAAAAGAAAATACCAAAAGCCCGACGGAGACTGAGGCAACTGATATATTAATTCTTTCAACTGTGATCTCGCGCTAATTCACTCTGTCAGAAATCATGTATCATTCATCTATGTCTGGAATAGTCTTGTTTCAGTAGTAGGGTTTTGACGTCACATCATCACCTCGTTTTCAGAGGTCCGAAAAATCGGGGATTTCAATAATTTTTTATAAAACGTAGGGAGCTCACAGCACGAAACGGTTTGCGGTGGTGAGCTAGTTTGGGCGAGTTCTATCGAATTAGGAAATAAAATTTTTTGTGATGTAAGCATGGCTGCTGATTACTGATGAAAACCATGAAAACATATTCCGAATTACAGCACTTAATTATTGATTTAATATTCCGGAACACAGATTTTCAGCGATATTCAGAATATAACCATTGTCTCATGGACCGTGGCGCGGGGGTGACAGGAAGCAAAAAAGCGAAGCTGGTAAAATTTTTTGTTATTTAAGGTGAAATGTCTATAAATTGATAGTTTGGTTTGACTGCGGGGTATCATGAAGGTGGGAAAAAATAATTTCAAATTAAATTTGTTTTATTCACGTGGACATTCAAATTTCCTAATGGCAACACATCATTGTTGATGGTTTTTTCGATTTCTCCACTAAAAGACTCTCCAAATCGCGACATTTTCAAAGATGGAATGAATACTTTTTTGACTACACAAGTTTGAAAAAAAAACGACATAAACACAATCAAAGATTTGTTTGAATACAATTTTGGTTGTTTTGTGACTGAAAAAGTTATGGCAGACTTTTTGCACTGTCATAATGACAAAATCACAGCGGCTCTTGGGAATTTATATACATAAATTGAATTATTGTCAAAATAAAAAAGAAACTTGCACCCTGCAGTTTTGGCATTTTTAGTTTTTAGGAACAAATAGATAAGATTCTAGTTAGGCGTTGAATGAAATAGGATTTATTTATTCATTACCCCCACCCCACTAGTATACCCGCCTGGTACGTCATTGAAATGGTGGAGGAGCCGAAACTATACGATCATGTTCTGTCTCAAATTTGATCGTACGAAATAAATGAGAAAATTACGGGAACAGTCTATAGATATTAGTGAAAACTAAGTAACTTGTGAATTGTATCGTCGAGCAATTAGATTATTATTTTTCTACTTCCTTTTATTTCGCTTGAATCTTCCAACGAATGATTTATAATCTCCGACCCCGAAAATCCCAGATACAAATTTTGAATAGAATCGGATCATAATTACAAAACTCGTCCGACATATTGGATCTGCAATCTTGAATTTCTAAACTTTGACGAATTAATCATATCGGGCCATAATCATTACGAAACACGTCCACCAAATTGGTTGCACCATCATGTATTTTTCAAATTTTGACGAAAGAATCATAATCTCCGACCACGAAAACCCCAAGATACCAATTTTGAATAGTCAGATCATAAGAATCCCAATACTAGTCCACCATCTTCAATTTTTGCATTTCTAATACATCTAAGAATAGCTATGCAAAGACGGGAAATCCAATGTTTTTCATCACCCACGCGCCTAAGTAGGTTTTCTCTTGAAAAATATGTGCTCAATGAATTCTCATAACCAATAAACTGTTAGAAATATTCACCTCAGTACATATGATAATTTCACCATATCAACATGGATTTATGGCCAGACGCTCAACGGTAATAAACTTAACTGAGTTCACGCAATACGTGTCGGAGCATGTTGCTAAAGCGTTTGACAGAATTTACCACTTGTTTTCATCACAGAAACTTCACTATTTCAGCTTTCATTTGTCAGCTGTCTTATTCCTCAAATCCTATTTCACTTCTCAGTTTGTTTCCTATAATAACTTCAATTCAAATAACTTTATTACTACTTCTGGAGTTCCACAGGGTTCGAACCTAGGTACCCTTTTATTTGCATTATTTATCAATGATTTAAATGACGAAACAGATTGTAAACGATTATTCTTTGCGGATGACTTGAAGTTATTTTCTATAAACCGAAACATGGATGATTGTAAAGCCCTGCAATTTGAAATAAATATAGTTCAGCAATGATGCGAGGAGAATAAGCTTCATTTAAATGCATCAAAATGTAAAAGCGCGAGTTTCACAAGAAAAAAATTTCAATCTTGTCTCGTTATGAATTAATAAATGATCTTGGCATTTACTTCGATTGCAACTTAACATTTGGTCACCACATTTCGGTAAAATGCTTTATATTTAAGGCTTTATAGTAAGAAATTGTAAATCTTTTTGGAATCTCAAAGCTCTATGTTCTTTGTATAATCCGTACCTTAGATCTAAATTAGAAAATGGTTCTATTATATGCATTCCTATCTATATAATAAGTAACAGGTTGATGATTAAACGAGTTCAAAGACGATTCCTGAAGTTTTTATGTTTTAAAATCGATAATCAATATCTCGAAAGGGGCGTACTATAACCAAACTTTAATGTTGCGCTTCGATTTTGAAGTCTTGACGTAAGAAAACGTGATGGCATTATTTTTCTATATAAATTATTGCACTATCAAATTGATGCAAGTAATATAGTGTCTCAAATCAAATTTTTTGTTCCAAATTCTAGAACTAGGTACATTAAGACGTTTCACTGTAATAGAGCCAGGACAAATTTATATTTGAAGTCCCCTATTCATACCATGTGTGGAAACTTCAATAACATTTCTGTTTACTGTGATATTCATCATGATACACTGAATTATATAGGAAATATCGCTATTCAATTTCTGAATGAAATCATTATGTAATATGTAGCAGTTTTTTTTTCTTTCTGATTTTATATTGTATAGATTGTAGTATTTTCATTCTTCTATTTCTTTTTTCTCTTTCCTTCAGCTATATTT